TTCTTCAGACCCTAGTTTATTGAATAGTCAACACAATCATAGTATGTATATGTTTTCGACAATGTAATGTATTTCAATTCTATTAATCCGCACCTTTATTGATTTATGCGCTTAATCAGTCTCAGATTTATTTCCGTCTCCCCAACTTATCTGGTTTGACTAGTTTTCTAAAATATTCTTAGGCATTATTGACCGTAAATCTACGCTCAATATAAAAACAAAAAGAGATTTAGAATGTTTTAGATAATAAAAAGTAGAAATTTGTACAAAATCGACAGATTTCCGGTAAAAAGGGTTTTATAAAGAAACCTTAGAAAATCAAATAAGTACACTTAAAGCAAATTGATTAGAAGACAATTAGCAAAAGTCGTCTACTAAAAAATCTTAAATAGTTAAGAAGGATCCTAGATATATGTACCTATCCAATATAAATAATATTCCAACGAAAATACTACAGATTATTAATATGATTATTTGTCTCTAAAAGGATGAATGTGAGTTGTAAAATCATGCAAATTTAAAACGAGTTCGAAGGGGTGAGACAAATAAGGCGTTTCTGGTGCGCCCACACCTTCGCTACAGTTGCACGTTGAGGGAGGGAGAGGTGGAATAGTCGCGAGTTAGCCCTGCGCCTGCGCACCTCAACGGACGTGCTTTGAGCATACGCGCGACGGCCATGTGATAGTGAAAGTAACCCCGCGTTTTCCGACTATTCACAAGTAAATAGTGAAAAGGCAAATATTATCTGATTTGCGATGGAAATCGTCAGTGTTAGTGATAAAATTTCGATCGTCGCGAGTATCACAAGCGAAAACGGTGTACCAAAACCGGCATTTCGTTTTTGATTTCAAACGTAACTATATATCTATACCTAATATACGTAACTATGTATAATTTGCAAGGAATCTTAAGAGGAATGACGAGTATTGCTTTCATTTATTTTGTTCCTTCTCAACTGATTCCACTTAATCTTCAGTCACGCTCCGGTTCGGTCCATTAAAGTAACATTGTTTGCTGCTGGTCTGAACATTATCTCTTGTTTTCACGGTATGCACATTTTAAAGGCTTGAACCGTTCTTTCAATTTATTTTTTATTCAGGTCATTTAACAAGATGCAATTACTTTGATCCATCATCGACATTTAGTCTATGTCAACATGGTCATTTTGGAGCAACAATGTTTCTCGGTTATTTATTAATTCATCGGTGGTTATACTGTATGACTACATGTGACATTAACATAATAATGAATATATTTGACGATACTGCCATTATATTTGACATTGCGTTTAGAAAAGCTTATTGGAGAAATGTCAAAATAATTGAGGCGCCAATCATTCATGTTTAGTGAATAATTACAAATTGACACGTGATATTTTTTCTTTCAAATTAAAATTGCTTTATCTACCAAAATGTCTGCAACTAGAAGCCATTTTATGGATCAACAAATTATTTAACTACTAATACCTGATACAAGTTTCAAGTCCGCATAGCGATTCAATGTTTGAAACTTCGACATGAATCAACATCTACCATTTGAAGTCAGTTTAATTTCTCTGTTTTTGTTTTTAGCCTTAGCATATTCTAGCTTACGTAAAACTTTAGGGAACGTCTAGAAAAATAATAAAGTTAATCATATAACAAACACGTTAACATTTGATAGATTTTCGGAGAGGTGGCCCTGCAATAAAGTTATTTTTACTATGTTGAAAGTGGAGCAAAAGTAAATAAAAAGATAAATAAACTTAGACATTAATTCACTAAATATGTTATGGAACCACTATATAATCTTCTAATTATTTTAAAATAATTTTGTTTTTCTTTGTATTAGTATTTAAGCATATAAACCACTTATTGTTGGATTGTTATACATTTTCTCAAAAAAATAATACTGGAACTTATATTGCTTTAGTTTCAAATATCAAACAAAACTATACCGATGCAGTAAATACGAAACTAAGCGGAATCGCAGCCCAGAACATTGGACCGGAATTCATGATACACCGGTTGGTTAACTCGATCAATATTCATTTCTTTCTAGAAATTGTGCATTCAAGTGCAATAGAAATGATTTAGTAGTATGGGAACAGAACGTATTATTGTACGTTTGAAAATAGTGGTTAATAAATCACATGCGGCAAAAATAGAATTAACATATAAGTAAAACACTAGTTAGGTACCAGAAGAATACTTGTACGACTGGCCTCCGTTGCGGTTGAAAGGGCTGCCGTCGCCGCCGCCACTGCTATTGAAAGAGTTGAACGATCTGTTACCTCCGGGAGGGCCTTTGAACGAGCGTCCCCTGAAATTACCACCTCGGCCTCTTCTGAAGTTTCCACCCCGACGCAGACCGTAATGTTTCCTTGATAATTCTACTTTAAGTGTCACGCCTAACATTTCAAAACTATTCATCGCGTTACACGCATCTTCCGCCTCCTGTATGTTTTCAAATTCTGTGGATTGAGTGCTACTCAAACGGAATTCGGTTTTCAGTATTTGTCAAATTCTCTATCGATATCTTTTTTTATGCCCTCTACGAGCCCACGGACATACACACATGTTCCATCTGAACACATTTTGCTAATTTATATCTGTTTTTAGTTGTTCGATCTGTATTTCAAAGTTATTAAACAATAAAAATACTGGAATTTAATAAAGAAATCAAGGTCAAATTTAACACAGAATCAACTCATGTACTTAAATACAAAATAGTATCATATCCATAACACTATTTATTTATTGTAGTACTGGACTATAGATCCAAAGATGTAACAATGAAAACTTATTGAAATTATGACTCAATGTATTCTGTAAAAATAAAGTTTAATGACGTAAAAAGACGAACGTAAAACAAATGAATCGCTGAACAGGAAATTTAGTGAATATATTTTTTTCTTGATATTTAATTTCAATACTCAATTAAACCTTAAACAAACCACCTCGGTCGTTAGTTCTCTTTTTGCAGTACGCAACACATAGTCAAAATTATTGACAAATGGTATTTAATGGAAACCACAAAGTAACATTAAAAAGAAGCAAACAGACGTTCACAATATAAGACAAAGCGAGGTTGTTTTTTTTCTTATCTTTAGAACTAGAAAGCATCCGTCTACTTTCTTGTTATAGCGTTTATATCAATGTACTTACGCACACTGCACAAGAACAGTTACAAAAACTTAGTCAATAACTTACATAAAGGTAATTATTGAATAAAAATGACAATAACACAATATACAATAAACTCTTCACTTCACTTTCCGTTATTTATGTCATTAGACGACTTCGACATCGAAAAAGGCACTCATATACCTACATACCCATACTTCATTGAAGTTAATATTTACTTTTTATCAAAAGTTTAATTTTTAGTTTACAAGTTCACTTCATCATAATCCAAAAATTCTTTCGCGTGACAAATCAAAATTCTTTCTCTCGTTTAAAAAATTAGCTTCAATGCAATATGAACGTCATTACTGTAAGTCAAAAGAAATGACACAAACCCTAAAAACCTAACTACTCGATTTACAAAACTTACTTTTAGAAGGTATCTCTAAAATATAGGACTCAACCTAATGTCCTAAAACCACTAATAAACAATGTTATTCCATGGTGTATAATTCATCAAGAATACACAATGGACAGCTAAGTAGCATTTTTCTATAAATTGACTGAAACATAAATTGCAATACTCTAGTTTAAACATTTAACTAGTATATATAAATCCCCTCTTGGTGACTCAGTGCTGGCATTCCGACTTAGTATTGATACAGTAATACATTAATTGTTCTTATTACCGCATTGAACAGCCATTTCTGGTTTCGCTATTGCGCATTCTTAGCGCTCTGAATTTTAACGTTTGTTATTCACAAACGGTCATTAGCTATCTTTTTACAATTTATTTACTTTAGTTGCATGTTTTTATTTTCAGTGTATGTGCATAGGAATCGTTTTTAACTTAATTGCATCCATAGATGTGTTGACAAGTGTTTGCCTGCAATTCCACACAATAATAACTGGTGACTCACCAGTCGTGATGGTAATCACAGTTTTTTTTTTACATCTACATCTTTTTTTTTTCATTTCTCTCCATCAGTTCATGTTTATGTCACATTTGTTTTTGATTCTTATTCTTATAGTCCGCTAAATCTGACGACTTAGTTTCTAGTGCTCTGACGGAACAAATTACACTTCATTGTGTTGCAACTCAAATTTTTGCAATTGCAGAGGCTATATTATATGCACACTGTTTTGTAGTTTATTTACCATAATTCAGTCTATCAAGAGGTTTTTTTCATTTCTTATCAACAAACTGAATATTTATAAATCAACGTTCCATACCTGGTGTGGAATAAACAAAATGTGACTATTTCGTTTCTTCTCACGCTAGGAGACAAAAACTTCCATTTATATTTATATTAGAATAAAGTTAAAAAGATACAACACTCTATTTAACAATATTAACAATTTCAAGTGCAACGGACCGATTCAATGTCAATAAATAGATTTGTTTCGTGCGTTTACAATTGTGCGACTGGCAGCATTGAGAGTCAAGAAAAAAATACGCTCTCGCCCGCTGAGGCGACCGGTGGCGGCACCGGTCGACCCTGAGCCGCCAGCTGCCGGAGTCTTGTTTTAAACTCGAATAGTTACTGAAACTGTTGCGGACCATTCGGACATCGCGAATGGTTCCAGCGAAAATTGAATCTAACAAAAGATCTCTTGATTGTTAAATACGTTCTGGTGAAGGGTGGAATACAAAACTTTCCTAATCTGCTTTTACTATCTATTTTGTTACATAAAGTCATCGAACAGGAAAAGCCTTACTTGATGAAAGTGCGTTTTACAGTTCTTGTGTTACTCGTTCCGCCGTTTATGGTGAACAGCTGACAACATCCATCGCAGATGATATCACACTGTGATTTCCTTGTGTATATGTGTACCTTATTAAAATCTTTGTAAAAGTGCAAGTGATGTAGTGGAGTGAAAAAAAAATGATAAAAAATGGTATCGGAGAGTTCTCCAAGGAACGGAGTGGCACCGCCGCTGCCTGCGAGGCCGCTGACTTTTCGGAGGAATTGCGGCGACCAAGGTGCATGTTCTGCTAATATTTGAAATACAAGTGTCACACGACCAATGTGACTCAGTGTTATTGTAACATTATTGATTTTAAACTCGTCCGACCAGTTTTCCTTTTTAAGCGTCTCATGCGAAACTTGTAACCTATGTACCTGGATTATACTTTTGATAGTTGATTTGTTCTTATTTCTTATCTTATCTTATTCTATCTTCTATAATGTTTCTAGAGAAATAATCACTTGTATTATATACTGATAAAGCTAAAGAATACTGGCCTTATTTTTCGTACTAAAACGTATTAAAACTGACAAGTGTTCCAGCTCCAGCTCGATAAGCTCTTATTTACTATCTTCCACTTCCATCTTCAGATTTGGTATATGGTGCCATATCGTTGTATGATTCATCATCAGATCTTCAAAATTTTACTTTAAAATAATATTTGAAGTTTAAAAAAATATTTTGACGTTTATAACAAGCCTGAATAAAATATTATAATATTTATCTAATTTTATAGTATAACAAAAATATCAGAAACCCCGATTCGCTTATTAGGCGTAAACTTAAGCGTTATAAGCGTTAAATAATAATAATCTGATGTATCTTCAGACGAGTTTAAAATCTATAATGTAATAACACAGCAAAACCAACCTTGACCGACCAATATTCCCCTAGTTTCCGTTTCATCACCCACGAAGGTGTACATCGAGACCAACGCAAGGTCCCCGCACTACAGCCCCAACGATGAGACAAGGAAGAGGCTACGTTACGACGATTTTCTGGACGACAAAGTGAGATTAATTAAAGTGTTGGAGCAAACGTGCTGGCTCTGTATCAAAACAGTGCTGCAGGATGGTGAAATTGAGGTCCAGGATCTTGTGGCATTTATCGGTAACTATATATAACCTTTACATATGTTAATCTATAATTAAAAAAATCATTTATAGGTAGAATATTCTATAAAAGTGATTAAGAGAGAAGAAGACTATCAGCTATATTTTTGGCTATTGAGTTTGACATGAAAATAGATATAATGTGTAAAATAAACATTAAATTCGAAAAACAAAAACAGAGCAAAACTACAAAACTTATTTTATAAGACTGTACATCAATAGTCAATATACGGGTGTTTCTGCGTCTCTTTTAAAATTGACCTGTCTCCCTTCTTGTAAGTATGTGTTTATTTCATATTATGTTGACTTATTATAATAAAAACAGAAGTTGTAACTTAAACTGGCGTATAGGCTTGTATATTTATTCCTTTGTTTTAGAAATTCTTTGCCCATTGATGGAGAATGAATGTGATTGTTTAGATTGCCGTCCTTTGTTACCTACACCAGTGACCTGATGTTTGTCAATATTCTCGCAGGCTGGGGGAAGCTGGCATATTACAGGACAGTAGTAGTGTAGGTGCCGAGTGACATTAGATCATACCGCGTTATGAGAAATAATACTCTTAGAAATTTTAATCGTGTAAAGACATCGATCACGAATAAAAAACTTTAGGCAATGTATTTAAGGTTGAATTTACCTTAATGTACATTTATTTCTACTACAATTACGTCAAAACAATTACCGACAGTTTTTATAGAACTTTTGCATGGGATTGTGTATCTAGTATTTTATTAGTGATCAATGTGTATAGAACAGTTGTGTATATATCTATGTTACCTGATAAAAATTACAAGAGTGGTTTTGAAGTCAGTATGAAGATAATCTACGAAGCCCAGGGACATGATTCGATCACCGAATGGTGTTTGCTGAACAGCTGTACCAGTGACACGTTGAAGGTTTACGCAACTGTGTCTTACGCCAATATGCCGTTTCGGAAAATTGCTAACAGTAAGAACAATAACTTATGAATTAGAAATGACAAATCATCTGCTTCAAAATTATTTTAATTCTATGCTAATTCACCACTGTTAATGTAATATGCAATTTATTCTTAGTTCTCCTTTAAATTTAACGTATAACTTTGTATTTTAGTCTATTATTAAATTTATTTTGTTAACGAATACTGCAATCGTACTTTAGCATTATTTTATTGCATTACAGTCTATCAAAAGTCGTTAGATTAAGTTAGGTCTTCCCAATAGTTGTGTATCGCCAGCAACGCAAAGTCAGGAATTTGCATTTAGAAAAAGCTAAAATTAGCGGTTTTTTAGGTGCGAATTAGGTGCCAAGTTTAAAAATTAGGTGCTTTGAAATTTTCACCGCAAGGAGCTGTTGAAATTTGCGTTGCTGGCAAAACGTATCGCTAGCAACGCAATGAAAATAATAGATATATGATAAATATTAATAGCAAGGAATTAAGTGTTAATAAAGTGCTGAAAGATTATCACCATTACCTTAGTATAAGGTATGAACGGCATTTTTTGTTCTTTATCAGTTATATATTACAGATAAGATAGGTCGCATCTGTACTAAAACCGAATCAGAACACCCCGTCTCCACGTAGTCTTGTCTGCCCTACCCCTAGAGTGTTTTTGTAAAGCCGAAGGCGCGGAGGGTGAGCAGCCCCCGCCCGTTGTAGCAAATGAAAATGCTCACCTCCGCAGCTTCGGATTATTGGTCGCCTTCTGTGTACTGCCTTAGCCGCTACGGCTCGCACTGATGCCTGTGATTTGCTACGCAAAGGCGAAAGGGCTGCACTTCCCGCAGCGTCGAAGCCGTTGCAGAAGTAACTGTGTCAATATTCCTGTTTAAAAAAGTGTGCGGTTATGATTTTACAATAAAAGTTATTACTCATAATCTATATATTTCCGCTAGGAGGAAAGGGTAGGGGAGCTTCCCCAGAACGCCCCCCACCGTCCTCCACCCCTCCTCCACCCCTCCTCCACCTCTCCCAGCCACGTACGCAAGTACCGGATGGCTATAGTTTTACCATTTTCAGAAGATTTTCAGAAGACCTGATTTTTGCATCTGCTTTGTTCTGAATAACGACTTTATTTTTATTAGGGGTCCCTTGTCTATACTTGCAGCACTTAATAAGCACTTAATTCCTTGCTATTAATATTTATCGTATATCTATTATCTTCATTGCCTTGCTAGCGATACGTTTTGCCAGCAACGCAAATTTCAACAGTTCGTTGCGGTGCAAATGTTAGAGCTTTAGAGATTTTTAAACTTGGCACCTAATTAGCACCTAAAAGGCACCTTTTTGGCTTTTTCTAAATGTAAATTCCTAACTTTGAGTTGCTGGTGGGACTCAACTCTTCCCTATAGGTTGCCTTAAAGGGGAGAAAATTGTATAGTTACCACACATTGCAGACGGGTTTGCAACTTTGCAACCGCAGTTTTCATTCGCACAGTACAATTTAATAGACCAGGGATATTTCTTCCTTAGTCGTCAGGGGTGACAACGCATCTGCATTTTAATTCTTTATCGAGGAAAAATTTAGATGCTTATGGACTTCAGCATCCACTTATCATGTTAATTTTTAGTGAATGAGAGTGACAAACGAGCGCACCTGTTTTCGGTCATTTACTAACACATTATTGTATGAAACTTGATAAAGAATGCATTTAAAAGGCTCTATTTTTTTGTTTTATACTACATCCTAAAACAACATCCCAACAAAACATAAATTTGAAAAAGGCGTCAGGTTCCTTTAATTTCCCTTTAATTTTTAATTTATTTTTATTATTTATTGTTATAGCGGCAATAGAAATACACATTCTGTGAAAATTTCAACTCTCTACCTATTACGGATCATGAGATACAGCTCACTGACAGACAGGTGGACGGGCAGACGGACGGACAGCGGAGGCTTAGTAATAAGGTCACGTTGGTTACCCTTTGGGTACGGCACCCTAAAAATCACCCTTCTTAATGGAAACTAGGCATCCCATCTTAGTCCTGACAATATATCTGCATTTTGATTCCTACCAAAGATAAATGTATAGGTCTATGGGCCACAGCATCCACTAACCATCAGGTGGACTGTGTGCTTGTTTCTTAATCTTATTCTATAAAAAAGCATATTAATGAAATTAAAACATTTTTTTATAGGATAGGGTGACAAACGAGCACACAATCCAACAATTTAATATATGATTATATAATCATTTACACAATATAAACATAAAACCATTAGTTCAGAGATAGATTACTTTGACGTCATACAAAAAAAATACGCGTCGATCGCTGAAAAATATGTTACAAAATAAACAAGACATTTGGCTAGTTTTTATTTTTATTCACTTCTAATTTATGCTAATCTAAGTTAAGTTAATCATCAAGCAACAAATGGCAATGAAAGAAATAATGACAATATTGTAATGATATTTAATATCATATCAATATTTTTAATGATAATAATCAGAGCAGATTTAGGGGACTAGATAAAGTACGAGAGACGGGCTTACACAAAACACGCTGTTTGATCAATGTGGCTCATAAATACTAAGTGAAATGCTTAAAACGAGAGAGAATTATTTTTCAAAAAAATAACAAGTTGTAAAATTAAAAACTTTGTACAACGGACTTCAATATAAATAAAATGAGAACATCATCAATGTAGTCGAAGTCAATTAAATATGTCCAAAAACTACTGCTCACATCTTGATCAAATTTATATAGCATTATATACCAGGCAGAAAAAGAGTCCTCCTCCTTATTTACAAAACGTTCAAACTGTTTTTACTAAAAATTTTAGACTACGGTACTGATGTTCCTCGTAGACATTGCGTCAATATTCGCGATGTCGCCACAACTGCAAGCGCTGTCTTATAGGTCCTTGACATTTTATCCGATGCATATTTTCGCTTTTCTACCGACTTCAAAAAAGAGACGGTACTCAATGTGACTGTATGTTTTTTTATGTGTGTTACCTCAGAGCTTTTTTCTAGGTGAACCGATTTTGATGATTTGTTTTTTATTTGAAACCTGGTGCTTCACATGTGGTCGCATATAAATTTTATCAAGGTCTGACCAATACTTTTTGAGTTATTATTAATAATTTATATTGAAGTCGGTTGTCCAAAATGTGTTGTCTTATTTGTTTTGAGAAACAGGAATTTGTTAGCTTTGTAACTATAATAAACAAATTTTGATGAATACTACAGATGTGTTGTCACTCCTGAGAAATAAGATGGAATGCTTTACCCGAACCGACCGATTTAGGCCGACGGGAACGGAGTTAATAGTGAAGAGAGAGTTAAAAACATATATTTTCTTTAGCAAGTTGCCGCTTCAGCGATTCGTTTAGAACCTAAGACACCTTCAATTACCACCCTTTTTTTTAAATGTAACACTCTTACGTTAGTTTACACATTTACTAAGGCTGACGCACAAACCGTGCAGGCTAAGAAAAAGAAAAAAAAGGGCCATTATTTTTTGAAATAAAATATGCTTTTACAGTATACTATCTTACAACTGTCATGTGAATTTAAACCAGTTCGCATGATAATTGAAGTCGGTTTATATTGTAGAGTACACAAAGACTTGTTTGGTTCATATTTAATCGCGTCTTTAGTAATTAAAAGTGCAATTCACGAAGCACTATAAACATCGATAGCACACGTCATAAACTTACTGACTTTAATAAAATCAAATTGAAAAAATATATAATTTAGTTGTTCCGTAATAGGCTACCTTATCTTAATAATTTGCATAATATATCGATTTTCATAATTGATTACAATAATTTTAAGTTTTATGCGTTTCTAGTCAAACTAAAACGCAAACGGAAAACCCTAATATTTAAAACTTACCGTCATTTATTAGGGAAAACTTTTATGTAAAATAATTTTATTCGCTCACTGTTTTAAACTCGTATATTATCGAGTATGTTTGTTCGGGTCGAGTTTAGTAATTGATTTTAACTAACTATTTACACGATGAGCTAGAGACTTGAAGTTTTGAACATACTTCAGAATGGAGTGATAAT